TTATTTACTGGTTCTAATATTACTGATAATGTCATCAAAAATGCATTAGTTAAGTTTTTAGAAAACGTCAATGTTCCAGAAGCTTTGTGGAGTCCTGTACCCCGATTCCAAACTGAAGCAATTTCGCCTATTTTTAACGCTAATGAGATGTAAATACCGCCATCTAAGAGCGTCGTATATTAATAAACGGCCTGTAAAAAGTGTCGTTTATTTTTTTAATGCGCCCGCCATATGTCCGATCAATTTTTTTATAGGCATGAGCTCATGTCATACGACACTGATGTAACTTAATCACCGAAAAAACTATCACGTTCGTGATTTACTTCCACAAAGTATTTGGCGCCGAAACATGTGCACGCATGAGTAACTTCAGATAAAGAAAATGTAATTATTAGTTTATTTATGGTCTTGGTATATTAAGTGGCTCATTATAGTAAAATGTATCACATTCCAAGGAATATAATTGTTAAAAAAATATAGAAATAGAAAATATAGAATTATGTTCTTACCCAGTAAACACGCAAAAGTTTTTAAAACGTATTTTCTAGATGCCAATAATTAATAATTCGCGTTACATTAGAAAATCTGGCCTTGTTTGTGGTGACTGCAAATGCTTCGCCGGGACTGAGCCCGAGAACAACAGGGGCAGGTCAAAGAAAATTCCTATAGCTAAAGCTAAGAAAGTAAAAAACATAAATAGAAGCATTATTTAACTGTCTGTTAATGAATAATTTTCTAAAGAGCATATATTTATTATTACATTATACCAATTTAATTTTTCGCGTTTACTTTTAATTTAATAATTTTTATGTACCAACAGAAGCTTAATATGTTTTTATCAAAGACGTTGATGTTATGTTGCATCTAATATTACCATTTTTAAATTCATATTAGTATTTATTATCTATCTATGTTTAATATGATTCATATTTAATTGTTTTTAGTTTTCACTACAAACTCATATGCATAAAAAATACTGACATTTGTTTCAGTTTCTAAATATTCTATGTTGAAGTCTAGTAATCATAATTATATATCTCCGTCTTCTTCGATTTATTACAACGGTGTTCTTAAATGGCTACTTACAATAGACCTTTTTAGTAGTGACGTCACATACGCCAAAGAATAGGCAATCCCATAGAGCACATTGTCATGATGTCAATTTTTTTTCACGTTTCAATCATTCAAGAAAAGTTTGATTATCGTTAAGAGACGTCTATAATAAACGACTTCAAGAAAAAAACACTCGATAAACACACTGACACAGCACAGCACCAAGAAAAAAATAAAAATACTTACAATTAGTAGAACTAGAAAATGCCAAGATTAAATAAAAGAAGAGAAAATGACAGCAATGAGATATCAAAAAGATCTCACTTGTTTATGAGGCTATATTTTTTAGAGGATGCGCATTAGGTACAACACAGCTAATGTTAAATTTTTACTTCATTTAAATTAAGGAATATTCTTTTATATCGTTTTTTGTAAGTTTTAAGCACGTTAGTGTATATATTTTACCAAACACGTGTTGGTTGTTCTTAAATACTTCCAAATCCTAGTAAAAATAAATTAACTTAAAGTTGTCCATTTTTATAGCGTCTATGTAAATTGTACATAAGGGTCAGATTCGGTCTGTACAATTTCAACCATGACAGTTTGTTGCGGGCTGCCTAAATATGTGACGTCACACTAAAAGAGTCTATTTACAACGAGAATTATTTATGGATTCTAACAAAAAGGTTGGAAAAACATGTTATTTAAACCTCTTTTTACAGACTTACAATTAAACTGCGTTTAGTGAAAACCCCAATGATCGTTTCATATTTACTAATATTAAACATTTGTCCTCTCGTTACCTAAAACATATATAACCACTAGGTCCAGGTCTAGGGAAGAGCCACGGGGGTTTATAGCCACATACCTCACAAGATCGGAGGGTCTCGGCAAGATCTGGCAAAATTAAACAAAAAAGTGCTTGGGTTTTGCTGCTTTCTTTTATAATCAAACCAAAAAGTGTTTAGGTTTTGAAATTTTAAATCGTTGTTTTCTTCTGTTTCTTTTTAGAAAAAAGGCCTCCGTACAGCTTGCTGCTCTGAGATCCACAATCCGGCCATGTTTACAACCGCGACATTTTTAAGCTAATTGTACGTTTGTGCCAATGGTGTTTAGACATTATAAATGCATTTCTAACATGTGTGTTATGATCAATGGCGGCTGGTGCGGGGGGCTTTTTTATAGTAAAAAAAAAATATATTTAAAATTTAGTTTACAATGTTATCTAGATGATTAAATAGATTAGTCTTATGAAACACATTAAAAAGGAAATGTTAAATTTATAATGCGCAGTCAATTTAAGCAGACCTGCAAAATTCGTTTGAAAAACTCTGAATACGTTTACAAAGTGTTTACAGGGGTGGTCATGGTTACAGTCGAGCATCAGTGAAACACGGAGTGGGAGTAGCACATATTTACTATACAGTTTGGGCATTATTTAGACAAATGCGGAAGAATGGACTTTCACTAAGTATAAAAAATACTGTGAAACACATTTTCCCTACATTTCAATAGTACTTAAAATAAAATTACCCAATTATACAGGGTGTCCGGTAAGTACCTCCTAATCTCTCGGGAGTGTATAGGGGAGGTCAAAATAAAACTAGTCCTTCCTATAATTTTTTTTCCTAATGTGCCCCCTAACGGAGTTATGGGGGGTCAAAGGGGTACCTAGAAATTAACGTNCCCCCACCACCACCACCCGTACGATTTTATTGAATTTCTCGCTTGCATAAATAACTTTAAACACGTTTTAAAGTAGGTTGACAATGAAGAAAAGTATTGTAATCTTAGACATGGTAAGTACTCGGAATACCAAAGATATTTTTCGAAAAATTAGCCCGGATATCCCAGTACATTTAGTGTAAATGACGGCTATAACTACGTAACTAATTGATCAATCGTTCTGTTTTTTTTTAAAGAAGCGTTTTTCCAAGAACTTTTAAAACCTGCTTTAAAAAATTTGATTTACTTGAATATTCACAAAGTTCTAATTGTTTATAACTACAAAAATTCGACCAATGTTTAAGCGCCAGAGCTCTCTTAATAGACGGATTCAGATTTTTCAAAAAAAGTTTGAAAGCTTGAGAGCCCTTCTATATGTAATTAAATTTTCAAGTAACTAAGGGCCTTGGTTTTTGCTGTGCAAAATTTTGAAAATTTGCAAATTTTTTTTCAAAATTTGGATTGCAAAATTATTATGCAAAATCTATAGAACCGATTTTGAGAAATTTGGTGTGGTGATTCTACATAACGTGAAGTTTTCTTGAGCCAAGTATGAAGGTCCTATACCCAATTTAAAGACCCCAAAAAAATTCACTAAAAAGTAATGTTTTTTAACCCCATTTTTGGCGAATTTTTCGATTTTTACAATAATAATCATGATTCATTCGATTTGTAACTAGTCATATTTTGTAAAAAATTTAATCACAAACATTTGTTTCCTCTTCCATTTTCGCCTAAAATCAACTCTTGAAAAGATACATAATTAAATAGGAAGAAAAATATGACACTTTTCGAATTTTTTTAACACATTGTGCCGCCAAAAGTTAAGCTCACGTTTTTTTATGCACATAGAAAAATTTTCATTTCTAGTGATACTTGAAAGCCAAAAAGCCAAAAATCTCCGTGGATATACGATTCACCAAATATGGATATGGAACAGATACCGTCTGGACCACATAACAATAATACGGATTGGCATAGATAACGGATTGGGATGCAGTTACCGATTACACCTGTCTTTGGGCGTGGAATATGAACAAATCTCAATGTTTCTAAACGCGCGGCTTCCTACGTGGACAGGAAATACCAACAGTACATCGAATTGTTGATGTTATACCAGATAACAAACTGAACTAGTCGTTTCTGTTCTCCGAGCGAAAGCACATGACATTCTAATAAGGTAATTGCGGCGAATGAGATACAACAACACAGAGCAGCTTTTGATTATGATTATCACCGTGTTTACACGGTAAGATATGCATCTCGTGCCAAGTGATGTGTTTGAAATTATGAGTTGCCCGCGAGGAGATTGCTACTATTCTTCAGAAGCCATTAGAATGCTTAATCTTTGGTTATACGATTAATTAAAGCTTCTTTGCTAAACAAATTTGCACATTTTAGGATTCCAGAGAAATTGTTTTGTATCGAAGACATGCCGATTGTCGTAGACTGCGTTATTGGGACATAAAACTACGGACTTTAACGACTTTGGAATTAAATAGTACAGTTACAGAAACTATGCTGATTACATGTGTGGTGAATTTTAATCAGCTAACAAAGATGAGTATGTAGCCTCTTTCTAATAAACTTTAATTGGCTGTAATTAGACCATCTCTGTTATTTCAAATAAATTGTCACAGCGGTCAGCCCGTGACTATAATCCACAAGGCCATTTGCCACAGCCGATGGACATAAGGTCAGATTTCATTTGTTATTCGTTTGTGCCAATAATAAAGGCATTTTTTCGTTCGGCAAGTCCGAGGCTGTTTATACGGGGTGTCCCTTAACGCAAAGGTCACATTTACACAGGAAAAATTACAAAATGCCGACTGAGAAGGTTGTGATGCTCATCTTCAGATATAAATAAATGTTCTTTAAATACCGTGGTTAGTTGAGGTTAGATCAGTTTTTTCTAATACTGTCTTTTGTATTATTCCATGAGGACATATTTTTTTAAATTATTCGAAAGCCGAGAATTTCACCAACTCCTTTCCGGAGGAATATATTTTTTTTTTTTTTGAATCACCATTAGCTCATTTTATCAAGATGGATGTGAAAAAGTGGAGTCAAGGCAACATATTATCGAGTATGAAACACCAATAGCCAAAAACTTGTCACTGATCCTTCAACTGAAGATTTTTTAAAAGGAAACATTGTCAAAAAGTCATCTTTTGTCCAAATCAGAAACAACACTTTAAATTTAACAAACTTTCCGTACTGACCTTGAATCTGCAGGTGTGTTGATACAATTTCTAGTTTGTTGTGTGATGCCACCTCCACAACTCCTGGAGCAAGGACTCCAAGGACTCCACGCCGACCACTCCCCAACAGTCTTTGGTGGTTTTTTCGATATTTGGTCTCTGTACAGCTGGTGCACCTGCAACAAAATGGATTTCAGTGTTCCAGAACTTCTTCTGAGGAAGAGAGCGGTATGTCTCTCGAAATGACAGATAGACAATACATTGTAGTAGTACATTTACTGTTTTTAAATAATATAAATTAATCTGCAATAGGTAAGTATATGTTTTTTGGGAATAATTTTGGATAAACATTTTTTTATTTACATACAATTGTATATTTTCTAGAACGGCAGCGCAAAAAAGATTTTTTATATGTAATTTTCGCTGTGGAAAAGTCGCAAACCTTCTAGACTGATTGTGAGATTTGTTTCAAAAGCCCTAATAAATCACCGACAAATTCGAACTTGTCAGTTTGAAGCAACATCTCCATTGTCTACAATTAATAGTCCTATTCCAACCGTTATAATAACACGTTGTATGCATTTGTTCGACGTTTCTAAACGAGGGTAATCGATGTCACCCCGAGGGTGAAGTCGATATGCATAAATAATCGATTTATCAGCCGGTTAGTCTCGCTGACCTACGTTATATTGGAGTTGATGGTATGTAATCGGAAGGTGGTTGTTGGTTGTGCCATTACTGTCGGGCACAATCTTGAAACGAACAAGTTTATTCATTTTCGCTCGCCTTTCCAATAATGTAATACTAATTTTTGTAGTTTTCTTAGCATATGATGTACAAGGTGTCCCGAAATTCATGCAACAAAATTTGGTCACAGATTCTTAAGACAAATTTAGGGGACCCGTATTCTTTATTTTTGTCAAGTGGCTCCCTCTTTCGGAGTTACAGCCCCTTGAGGCCCGCCCCTAAGAATAATCTTTTTTTATATATCTCAGAACCCTCGTGTACGAGAATAACTAAATTCGGTACACAGGGGTTTTATGACATGTGGAATCTGATGGTACTACGTTTTTTAGCGGGCAACCCCCTTAAGACAATGTTTCGTGAGCCCCCTTGTCTTTGGAGCCAAACAAATTTGGTCGCATATTTAAATTTCTTAAAAATTATCAGTCCACTAGAAAGCCATTAAATTTAGAAACTTTTTGTCTCTTTATACTTTTTTCGTAAAACGCGATATTTTCGAGAAAAATGTCAAAATGTGATCGAATGCATATCGTGATTCGCCATTTTCCTAAAAAATATTGCGTTTTACGAAATAAATATCATGAGACAAAAAAGTTTCTAAATTCAATGGCTTTCTAACTAACTAGTGGCTAATTCAATGGCTTTCTAACTAATAATTTATAAAAAAATTTAATTTGCGACCAAATTTTTCTGGTTCCAAAGACAAGGGGGCCCACGAAAAAGTGTCTTAAGGGGGTTTCTCGCCATAAAGCGTAGCACTGTGAGATTCCACATTTCATAAAAACCCTGTGTACCAAATTTAGTGATTCTTGTACAACATGGTTTTGAGATATAAAAAAGACTTTTTAGGGGCAGATTTCAGGGGGCTGTAAGCTGTAACTCCGCAAGTGGGGGCCAGTTGGCAAAAAAAAATACGGGTCCCCTAAATTTGTCTTAAGAATCTATGACCAAATTTTGTTGCATGAATTTCGGGACACCCTGTATGGGTTACTTAAAAAATAATATATTTTAGGTAACTTAAATAATTCATTTTTCATTTCTAACAAATATACAGGATGTAATAGAAACCGTGTCACGCTCTCACTATTTTTATTTTCTGTGTGTATTTTGTACGTGAGAAAAAAAATTAAAAAAATATCCTTAAACTTAAATTTCAAAAAGTTCTTCAATCATACATTTTTTTATTCCGTCGCGCTGTTGTCATATTGAGCGATATCAACTTTATCGAATTTTATTAATTAACAAAACCAGTTACTTTGTTAAAACTGAACACAACAAAATTCAAATCAGCGGTAAACAATACACAAAATTATGTGTAGGTTCATTATTTTGTGCAGATTTTTTCTGGAAAATTATTGGATTTAGGACTTATACGGTTTTTTTTTATTTATTTTGATGTATACCTACTGTCGTCTATAAAATTATGTCAGCTAAACTTATAACACATTGTATGTGGGGCAAGGAACAATAATCGAAGTTCAATGACAGCGGTACTACTTGTTAAGAAATTTCCTACAACAATAAAGAAGTTTTTATTGTTTTATTGCATGTTACGCAATAAGTCAATAAAATTAATTGCAAAAACAAGCTGAACATGACATTTTTCCTTCGTAAAAAACAGTTAATAACGTTTCATACGAAAAACATGAAATACATGATATAGAAATAGATATGACAGCTCTGTCCAGTCTTTAAACTGCCTTTTCGGCAGGACAAACTATAAAACTGTAGAATCTAGGTAGCGGATAACGAATTTAGTATAATTTTTATGCGTCTCAAAAGTGTGCCGCTTCCCATAAATGATGCCACGTAACAAATCTGAAATATAGATGGACAAAATCGTTTAATTTGCCAAAAAAGTTATAATAAAATAAGAGATAAAGTTTTTACAGCTGTTTTGCTTTTTTCTACCGATGGTTTGAATTTTCGTATAATATATTGCTTGTTAATTTGTTTGTTCCGATGCAAAATTGCACTAATCCACGAACGTAAATACAAAGCAAAACTGCTACTGTTTTTTCGCGTATTTATCTGTAGTACATAGTTTTCTATATAATTACTTTGAAACTACCTGTACCTTAACCACAGCACTCGTGATTTTTTGAGGCATTTAATAACAATTCTCGTCAAGCTAATGGGAAAAAGTGAAGACTCCGGCGTTTCTTATTGATTGCGTGTGGCATTTTAAATTTGGTAAGCCTACTAGATTATACAGTTGAAGTACCTATTACCTTCTGTTATACTAAGAGAAATAAAACTGTTAATTATCAGTATAGAGAAACGGGCGGTTTGGTAAAAAGTGGCCGAGCTATAAATAAAATCGTAGAATTATGATTTCATTTATTTTATACTATAATCAGCAATTTTTTGTTCGATCATTTCAAATATTTAAAAAAATTGGATGTCGTTACATTCACGATCTCCATTTGAGTGTTCTTAATAAATTAATTTTTGTATTTCCTCAAAATATAATCTCTATGTAGATTTTGATGTGTCTAATCGTGCATTGGATATTGGGTATACACAAAGCCGTTACTGTTTGTGTATATTGTTATACAGGGTGTGGCGTGTATAATCTATAAAAAATAAACTACAGCTTCCTGATGATATTTGTAATAGAAAACTCTTATACGAAAATGTTCTATCTTCGCGCTTTTTTTGTAAATTAAACTTCATTTATTCAACGAAAATGAAGGCCGAAATGTTTTTATGCGACCCAAGATGCAACCTTATAATTTAAATCGGTATAATCTAATACTGGTAATACTAAAAGAAGGTTAGGTTACATTGTCAAAAAATTTGTGCAGTCAACTGAATTTGTATTTATATTGAATTCATTATTCACTTAATTATTAAACATTAAGCAAAGTGAGACAAAGACAAACGTTTATATTTTGTAATTCCACGATAGTGACAATGTAATTTTTATAAAGTAAAAAATAAGAATAGCGTATCGATTACATTAAGAACTAGATTCTTATTTCTTATGTTGCTTAATTTTTTAGTTTGTGCACAAACTAGTTTTACAATGAACCGAGAAAGGAATGCATTTACTATTTCCGAACGTGTCGATATGGTGTTAGTGTATGGTGCAGCCGGGGAAAATGCACTCGCGTCGACTAGGTTGTACCGGGAACGATGGCCACAACGTCACCCCCCATGTGCAAATACAATCCTACAGTGCGTTCAGCGGCTACGAGATACGGGAAGTGTCATTCCTCGAGGAGAATGACATGGTCAGCAAGTAAACCTTAATGTTGAAGATGCAGTGTTGGGAAATCTTGACGAATACCCCACAATTAGTACTCGACGACTCGCACAGCAAGTAGGAACCTCATCTCGTACCGTACATCGCAGCTTAAGGCGCCATCTGTTGCATCCCTATCATCTGCAACCAGTTCAACGGATTATACCCCCGGATTGTGATCAACGAATACGTTATTGCAGATGGTTTTTTACGGCAATGTGCCAATCAGACTTTCCTGCTTATGTTTGTATAATAGATGAGGCGACATTTACTCGTGATGAAGTGAATTTCCATAATATGAACATATGGGCCGATGAAAATCATCACGCGATTAGGTAAACTCATTTTCAACATAGGTTCTCGGTAAATGTTTGGGCTGGCATAATAGGCGATGTACTTGTGGGTCCCTATTTCTTTGAAGAATGACTAAATGGACCAACATATGCTGACTTTTTGGAGAACCGGTTGCTTGAATTATTGGACGATGTGGCATTACAAATTTGGGCACACATGTTTTATCTTCAAGATGGGCACACAGTACTCGAGAAGTAACGACACTTTTGAATGAAATGTTTCCTCAGCGATGGATTGGACGTTTTGGTCATGTGCCATGGTCACCTCGGTCACCCGATCTGACTCAAATGGACTTTTATCTTTGGAGTCACTTGAGGTCATTGGCTTACAATACTCCAATTGCTACAGTGGAAGAATTGCGAAACCGTATACTTAAAGCTGCTGACACAATTAGGGGAATACCTGGAATTTGGGAAAATATTCGCCAACATTACTATTAATTAGGTACTATTAATTACTATTAATTATTATAATAAGAAAATATCAGGTTTTTCATTGTACTTTTGCATTGAAAAAATCCCCAAAAATTGAGAAGTATCTTTCTATCTTTCCACGACGATTTGTTTACGCGGCTGATCTACAGCACGTACAGGACCGTTCCAGAGAAAATATTTTGATCCATAATTGAACTTTAATTTACGAAAAAAAAAATGCAAAAATATAACTTTTTCGTATGAGACTTTTCTATTACAAACATCGTTAGGAAGCTGTAGTTTAGTTTTTATAGATTATACACGCCACCCCCTGTATAGACGAATTCAACCCTTATTTGCAGCACAATTCTATTGTCTGCAATATCCACATAGATGTGTTTTAATAAGACCAGTTTCT